ACAACTTATATTAAAAGTGTAACATTTGACATAAAATAGGAGTAACGGAGATTTAACCTACTAAGCGGAAGAAATAACCAACTATATTACTTTTTATTTCGTTTCTTCATATGTAGCGGATGGAAATAGTATCGAGTGGTATTTGTGCAATAATTCACATTCCTCCTACGGCTGATTAATAAGAAAACTACAATGGTCGCGTTCGAGCGTAGCGAGTATGGAAGCAAATAGTGGTCAAAGGTTAGAAAGTAGGGCTTCGCATTATTGTGGAATTAGCACACTTTTACGGAGTCACCGATGGCACCGACACGACGCAAATTCTATGCATCTTTTAAAAAGCTGTGCACGTATGTTTTTTCAACAGTCACGTAATGATGATTTAGATGAAGTAATCTATTACTTTTTATGCGTAACATACTGAATTCATCGCCAATTTCAAAACAACTTTACAGAAATTAAAACGAATTATTGCAAGCAAAATATGTACTCTTTATTAGGTAATAAGCACATACGGTGTAATTTGTGAAAAAATAGCTCATCTTCACAGTTGTTTGTTCGGGTACTCGGAATTTATTATTATAAAAACTCTGCTAACTTGAAATCATACGAATGATAGAGAAATTGACATCATCGCTGAGGAAATGTTTCTCACAAGAATCTGTAATAAGAACAATAACCGTTTCGACTGGCCACAAACTTCCATCCACACATGGTTTAAAATATCGTAAGTTCAATTGCGATCCTTAGTAACGTGACACGTACGATTCGTGAGATGGATTGCGGAAATGTGAAAAGCAAAATACGAAAAAAAATCGCAGCATGTTTTGCCGATTCATGCCGACCGCGATTTTTAACGGTTCACGTTCTTATCGAGGTATGGTCGACGTGATTCTTCGCGAGAATATGATTCCCTAGAAATGTAGTCCTCGAAGAAGAAACAAGACGGAGGAAAGAGAAAAAAGATAATGGTAAAAATGTGTCGTTCGTTGTTCGATGACGATGGTCATGGTGAAACGATCGCGAGGCAGACCGATAATTTCAGTGTTCACCAGTACGCGCTCTGTCGAAACGAATATTTCGCGGTTACCGGAATTAATATCGCAGTTCCATTCTGCACCGACAAACAACGCGGTATCGATATCAAGGAAGCACGATCCAATTTTATATCGCGATGAAAAAATATCAAACCACATAAAAAGGGCTTTATGCGGAAAGCGAAGTCGGTCACGGATCAGTTTACGGAGTCGTCGGGTGTTACACCGTTGCTGTAGAGAAATTTTGCAGTTAATTTACACTGTCGCACCGCTTAGCTGGATAATAAATGATACCTGCCACGATCGTAGCTTGTCGTATATCGTTATTCTAACCTGTCAATGGTTAAAGACAAGCTAACTTGTCATACGAATTCGAGTTGATCCTTTAAAGTTTATAATTTATTTACATAGGGTTCTCTAGCGCGTTTAACGTGCCGTTTCTCTTACAAATATGTATATTTTCATCCGAGATATTTCAATACAAATTGTTACGCTGTAAGTACGAGTTTCTATTTCGCGTATCAAAAGCATACGAGAGTAATCGATGAATCATTCGTTCAATTATAATATAATCGATAGGTAATTTTATTTTATTTGATTTTTTACTAATTTCTTATTAAAACGCGTATCAATGTGACGCTAGACATCATCGATCCATACATGACATGTATTATATACCGTTACCCGTCATAGTGTGCAGCAGATCATCCTATAACACAAAATGGGACAAATATATTCCAAACACATACTCCATTGAGAAAATAAATAAATTATTAAAAGAGAATACTTAGGCAAACAACAAGGTAGGGTGATTTCGTGATAAAGGTAAAAGAGAATCGATAATCTGCAGCTCTTTACGTAATTGCAGCAACCAGCTAGCTTCCCGTCAAATTATTGTACGGTACGGTAAATAGCTGAATTTTACGAACTACGATAATAAGCTATTATAATAAATATCATAGAATATTCCTGGCTTATTGTGCAAACTAGAACGCAAGTGTTCTTAAACAATGTACGATTATGTATATGTCTATACGAGATCGTGGGATCTGTAACTCCTTTGAAAAAGAGATCACATTTGAAATAATTAACGCAGATATCTAGTTCACAGTGGTATTGTTTAGAGTGGTGCGTGGTTTAAACATTACGCAGCAGTAGTATAACCATTGATAGCACGCACTGTACCGTTACACCGTCACGCTGAAAGGATTAAGACAGCGGAACGGCGTGTATGATTGGAAAAGCCTCTGACCTTTCACTTCATCTAGTTTGTCATTCGAAAGATGTTTAAGTCTAATATTACTGAACAATGTAAAAATAACAAGTTCCTCTGTCCAATAATTTTTGTTCTAATTAATTATCTAATATATTACTCCTACAACACACGACACTGGTTCATATATTCAAAGAATTGGAGAATTTCTGTGCTGTCCAGACAATGTGTTGAAAGTATTCAAAATTGAAGTTCATGTTCTATATAAATAGCTCCTATAAACTAGTAACAAAAATGTTAACAGGTTTCGCAATTGACATAAAACACGAATGATTTACAAGGGTTTTTAGATACGTCCTATCTTGTACAGATTTACGTGCAATTGCAGTTAACTTTCGTCACGCCGTTTTGCGTTTTATTCAATTTATTTCATTATAAATGTCACTGTAACCCATATAGCGTCGATAATTACCAAATATACGATGGAAAGTTTCATCATAGGAAACCACGTAAATTGTAACGAAGTAACCCTGACGAAAATGCGACATAATTGAAATTGATAGTCGTTAATAATGAAATTTTCGTAGCCAATAACACGGTTGTAACTGAGAAGCCACGATGTTCGTGATTTGACCGGCTTATACACCACATTAGGTGTAGTCAAGTATTGTCCAAGGTAGTTGAATATCATGATGCAGCTCGAAGAGACATTACTTTACAGTTGGGGTGACTCTAAGCCAATTTCACGTCGGGTTTCTTCGCTCTAATACCCCTATCGTACCACGTGACTTCCCTCGCGGCAAATGACCATTGTTTAGCAGTGATACCATGTTCAAACGTATCGATACCAACAATACCACGATCGTAAATTGCGATAGCAAATCGTTTGTCTTCTCAAAGAAACGAGATCATAATCAAGAACAATAAGTATGATCGATGGTGCGAAATTGACACTACTTTCGAAACGGATAGGAAAAAGATGTTCGTAGAAGAGAAATCATCGATCTGTGAAATTGACAGGATTCTCATATTCTAGGTCGAAGACACTGATCGCCAACTTTTTTCAGCAACTGCTATTCTTTCGGATAAATGTTCAAAATTGGATGCGATATTTGAACAAAAGAAATTTGTTCGGACAGTGTATGTAAGTAGTATCTATACTTTCAGGAAGAATGAAGAGCCTTTTGTCGTACGCGATCGTTAAGCAAGCAAAGCTTTTACGGCACGTCGGTACATTTGTTTCGTTTATAGAAGATATAAACACCTTTTAACGTATTTCTTTCCTTTCAAAAACGGACATGACTTGTCATGTAAAATGTAAAGAAGTTTGAAAAATGTTGAAATTTTAGTAGAATTTTATTAAATTCTAAATAAGGGAGAGGCAGAGAGAGAAAGGAAGAGTGGAACAAAGAGTATTCTTCTAACAGAAGCGACCGATAAAGTTGCAGTTGACTACATATTTTTAAAAGAATTCAAGAATTATGAGAATAGATTATATGTAGGTGTAAATGTAAAGGGATTATGTGAAATTATAAATTATCAAATTTTGCGATATACATATAGGTAATATATAGAAATAGTTAAAAGAATGGTTCATACAACTTTGCACGGAGTCACATTTAATTCGGCAATTCGGTGTTTAAAATGCATAACGTAATTTCACGAACAAATTATTCCATAAATGCCAAACGCAAACAGAGATCGGATGCGTTTGACACACTTCACGTTGAACGTGACTGTGGATGGCCAATGGCGATGCACGATAATTAGCACCTGCATGCTCGCTTAAAATATTACGAAATTATTTGTATATTTTAGCCTGCTCTTGCATTTACATCTCAAATCAATATAGACATTTTAATTGTACGTTAGCTTTCCTTTTTGGAAAGAATTATATTTTACAAATCTTTATAATTACTCCATTTAGTTCATTCGTAAACATCTCTTCGACATGTACGTATTCGAAAACACGAAATATTGCATTTCTCTTGTGTATAATTTTGCCATAATTTTTCCATAGAGTTCATCGAATTTTTCCAACTTGATTATTAAACTGATTAATCTATTCCTTAATCTATATATGATAATCTCTTAATCTATCATTGTACCATTGACTACACACTTGACACCCGTGATGTATAAATGTCCTGTTTAATTTAGTGTCATAAAATGCCATTCGAAACCACGAGTAAGTGGCTTTGATCCTTAGATGGCTTCATCCAATGGCATAAGTTACTTATTATCATATCTTGGATTTATATATGCAGAAGCAAGAAACAGCTTTTCATTATCAATTAATTAGACTCAATCTCGTTTTACGCATGTCCCTGCAATAGGCGATACAAGAAAAATAAAATTACGTAACGACATTGTTTAACATAATTTCGAAAATGAAAATAGACGAAATCCGACAATCAGGTATATGAATTTATTCTGATCGAAACAAATGGTATCAGTGAAAAAATAATAGTTTTCCTATTAGTATCCTTTTATTACGTATTGGTAGTTACGTGAAACAAGATTAAAATATCTATTTATCTACTTATATAAAAACCACACACGGTGCATATCAGATTCATAATGCATATACGTAAGCATGTTCAAACTATTATGGAATTAATATCAGAAATCAAAATGACAGAGGAGCACGTGGCGTGGTCTTCTTATGAGACCTATTTCTGAGAGTGAGCACAAGTGCGCCGGTCCTACCGAGCCTGATCCTATTAAGGAGTTAACAGGTATCTGGTTAGAAGACGAACAACCCAGTCGTATTTCACACTTGGTCAAGTTAACAGTGTCTATTGATAATCACTGGCGCATCGTTTAATTATTCAGGGCCTTAAATAAGGCATTCAGAATTTTAAAATATCCAGCGTGAACAACGATCACCAAAATGGGTGATATAATTGGTCAGTAAGAATTCACGTCAAGGAAAAATTTTGGCGAACAATATAGAAAGTGCAGTGGAACAGTTATTGGTAAATTCAACAAGGGAGAGAAAGTGTTCTATACTTTGAACTCAGTAAAATTTTATTAGTCTATAAAATAATAGAGTTGCATAATCGTCGATTATTATCTATTGTTATAGGTGCCTTAACCATAGAAATTTATATTAATTTAATCGTGAATTCAAACTCGCGTATGTTTCGAAGCAACTGAAATTTTTCTGTCTGTTTCATTCGTGTAACTAGTTGGCAATGCGTAAATTCGATTACCATAAGAGAATATGTTATATAATTAACTACGCTGATATATATAAATCTTCGTTGTAATATATCTATATTAGCAAGACTACATATTCATTTGATTTCTAAAGCTTCGGTAAAAATCAATCTTTCAATATTATTAACACTAAATAAATTTACTTCTTCGATGATCACACTTTATTTTGTTTCATCTATTTGCTCTTTTGTAGTATTACAAGATAAAATGTAGCTTATTTTCAATAAGGTTTTACCTATCTCTTCTATGGAAAGATTTAGTTCCAAGAAATGTTTTTATTGCCCTATACTTACACGGTATGACAGTGACAACATTTCTCTTCGTGGTTCACCGCAACTTTCTATAAGACTTGAACAAGGAATCATCTCGTATAAAACTACCGATAAATGCAGCACGTTATGTTATTAACTTCATTCATGATTTATCGTGTACCATACTCATTACATCCCAATAGAATTGAAATTTATAATCGTAATAATAATCGGAGGCATTAACGTAATAAAGATAATAATATAATTTTTATGTATTATTATTAATGTGTATTATTAATAATAAGATGGTAAATTTCGACAAATTAACTAATTTTACTAAATTTTACTAATTTTACAAATAAAATGTAGAAATATAATTCCCTATTTCAGAAATGACCGGTGGTGGGACCAATATGGCGTATCACGGTCTGAGTCAGCACGTAAATTTTGACGTGATACCAGATCCTGGAGATCGCTTCGTCTTGGAAGAATTAATCGGAGAAGGAACCTATGGAGAGGTTTACAGTGCGTATTGCAACGAATCTGGCAATAAAGTTGCAATTAAAATTTTGGAGAACGTCGCCGACAATATCGAGGAAATCGAAGAAGAGTATCTGGTGCTGAGAGACTTAAGCCACCATCCTAATATTCCTCTCTTTCGTGGTTTGTTCTTGAAAAGAGCTAAACCTGCTCAAGAAGAGGATCAATTATGGTTTGTCATGGAGGTATCGTTGCACTAATTTTCGTCTCATAATGTAAACAGGAAAGCGTAACGAATATACAATCGAATACATCAATATCATCACCTAATTAAACGTTATTTGATACCGCTTTGAAATTTCCCAAAAAAAATTCAAACGAGTTATTATAAAACGTTCCGATCGTAGTTGTGCACCGGAGGGTCGGTGACCGATCTCGTTCAAGGCCTGAAAAGAAAAGGAAGGCGCCTAACGGACGACCAAATAGGTTATATCCTCGCAGAAACGGTGGAGGCACTAATTTATTTACATAGCAATCATTGCATGCACCGTGACGTTAAGGGACACAATATTTTGCTTACCGAAGATGCACACGTCAAACTGGTTGATTTTGGCGTGTCTTCGCATCTCGTTGCTACCCTCGCCAGAAAAAATACCTCGGTTGGCACACCGTACTGGATGGCACCTGAGGTAAATTCCAAAATTCCTTCTTCGACGTTAACGTCAACTTTCGATTATTAAACGTTTCAAACGTCTTATCAAAATACGACATTAATCAATGTGAAATCTCACAAATTACGAATAGGTGATAGCTTGCGAACAACAACTTGATTCTTCTTACGATTCTCGATGCGACGTTTGGTCAGTTGGAATCACGGCAATCGAACTAGCAGAGGGCGATCCACCCCTATCTGAACTGCACCCTATGAGGGCACTCTTTCAAATCCCCAGAAATCCACCACCGTCCCTCAAGAATCCAGATATCCATTCTCCAGAGTTGGTCGACTTCATCACGGAATGTTTGGTGAAAGATCTCGAGCACAGGCCCTTTGCAAGCGAACTAAAAGAGCATCCTTTATTGATGAATATCGAGTCGAAAGCGGAAAAGATTAGAAACGAAATACAAGAGGAGATCCGACGTCAAAGAGCTGAAGGTAAAGTTCATAGACAGCCCGAAGTAACGACCAAACACGGCAAATTGAAGACCGATCGGAAAGCTAGACCAGAAAAGATGTATATGGACGACCTGGCTGCTTTGGACATGTTGTCGGAGGATGCAATCGTCGATCAATTACAACACAGATATGAACAAACTCAAATATATACTTATATCGGAGATATACTTGTAGCTGTTAACCCTTTCACAAATTTGGGACTGTATACAGGCATTGTAAGTATGATCAAACTCTATTTATCGAAATTTCTTAAATTTCAAGTTATCTATGCAGGAACAAAAGAGATACAAAGGCCAAGCAAGATCGGACAATCCACCTCACATTTTCGCCGTCGCCGATGCTGCGTATCAAGCACTGCTACATCAACGACAAAATCAAGCAATTGTAATTAGCGGCGAGTCAGGAGCAGGAAAAACAGAAAGTGCGAATTTGCTGCTGAAACAATTGGTTTACCTCAGCAAAGCTCCTAATCGTAATTTGGAAGAAAGAATTCTTCAGATAAATCCGATAATGGAAGCTTTCGGTAATGCGACTACTGGGATTAACGCAAATTCATCGAGATTTGGCAAATATCTTGACTTAACCATGACTAAAGGTGGTAAAGTCACTGGTGCCAGAATATACGTGTATTTGTTAGAGCAATCTCGCGTTGTAGCTCAAGCTGAGTAAGTTTCTGTATATCATGTATTTGTCGATATGTACGTTGTACGCTATGTAATAATTTTAACATTCTGATCTCGTTAATTTACACAGAGGTGAACGCAATTTCCATATATTTTACTACATGTACGATGGTCTGGAGGCAGACAATCGTCTTTCAGAATTCTACCTGGATTCGAACCTTCGAAAGCATCATCGATATTTGACAGATCAGAGTCAAACATCTCAAACGCATATCGATAAATTTCAACAACTAAAAGTCGGTTTTAAATTACTGGGATTTCAAGATAGCGAAGTGGACATAGTATATCGTATTCTGGCTGCGATACTTCATCTGGGTGATATCGAGTTTGGTGAAGTAGCCAGCGAGGATAATACCGATAACAAAAGCCGCGTGATTGATACAACACCTTTACACAGAGGTAATATTACCAACAAATTTATCTCTTCTAAATTATCGTTTCTTTCGTTTTCGTTCCTTTTCTTCTTACTTTTTTCTTTCGAGAAGAAGTACTATTTCGAAGAAGAAGAATTTATGGAATTTATAAACTTCGAAACACGTTTCAGTTTCGCAATTACTCGGTGTGGAAGAAAATGATCTTTTGGAAGCATTGACATCAAATTCCGTTATGACTAGGGGAGAAACAATCACGCGTAACAATACGGTAGCCGAAGCGTGCGCGGCTAGAGACGCGATGGCAAAAGGATTGTATGGTCGATTGTTCGACTGGATGGTCAATCAAATCAACTGTTTACTATGTTTCAATCGTTCACCGAATTACGAACCGCTGGCAATCGGCCTGCTGGATATATTTGGCTTCGAAAATTTCCCGAGGAACTCCTTCGAGCAACTCTGCATCAACATCGCCAACGAACAGATACAATATTACTTCAATCAACATATTTTCACCTGGGAGCAACAGGAATATATGGCGGAAGGAATACCGGTAGATTTGGTCGAGTTCTCTGACAACAGACCCGTTTTAGATATGTTACTCAGCAAACCTATGGGACTTTTGGCTTTATTAGACGAAGAAAGTCGATTTCCCAGAGCCACCAATAAATCCCTAATCGGTACGAATCTCCAATTTGTTGTTTTTCGATAAAAGTAATGCATTCGATAATTATTGTGCATATATTACAGAGAAATTTCACAACAACATCAAGTCCAAGTTCTACGTAAGGCCAAAATCGGACGCAGTTTGTTTCGCGGTCCATCATTTTGCGGGTCGCGTAGTTTACCAAGCGGATGGCTTCTTAGAAAAGAACAGGAATTTCCTACCTCCTGAAGTAATCCAGCTGATCAGGCAATCTCAGTACGATATGGTCCGTTTCTTGTTTCAATGTCCGATCACGAAAACTGGCAACTTGTATTCGGCTGTTCACGAGACTGATTCGAAAAAATTGTCACAGTCGAATCAGAATACGAAGGTATCTAGGTTTAGCTACTCGATTAAACTATACAGACTTGACAACACCGACAACTCGAAGACAACGCCGTCGCAGTGATGATTTTACAGATTGAAAATTGCTGAAAATTTCGTTTGAATGAAAATTTGTTTATAAATTGCATTAGGAACGGTACTCCAGTCGGGGGTTGGCGTCACAATCCAGAGCTCAACAAACCGTAGCAACTTACTTCCGTTACTCCCTTATGGACTTACTCCAAAAGATGGTGTCTGGGTCGCCACAGTTCGTACGATGCATAAAACCGAATGACTCTAAGAGCCCACGATTCTTCGATAAAGAGAAAGTCGTGAAACAATTGAGATATACCGGGGTCTTGGAGACAATAAGGATCAGACAAAATGGATTTTCGCATAGAATATCGTTCAACGAATTTCTAAAAAGGTACTCCTCTCAATTTCGAAATATCGATTTGATCAAAGTTCATAGATCACCCTCTATTAAGTATTAAAAATTAAACGGGCTGTTTTAAATATTTTCGATTAAAAAATTGTGTATGTTTCAGATATTGTTTCTTAGCATTTGGATACGACGAACGTGTGGTAGCGAATCGCGACAATTGCCGTCTCTTCCTGATCCGTTTGAAAATGGACGGATGGGCATTGGGCAGAACAAAAGTTTTCTTGAAATACTATCACGTCGAGTTCCTTTCGAAGATGTACGAGGAACAGCTGAAGAAAATCATTATGGTTCAATCGTGTGTTCGTCGATGGCTCGCTAGGATCAGATTTAAGAAGCAGAAATGGCAATTCGCCGTGTCTGTTGTAACACTACAACGTCATATTCGTGGCTGGCTGTCGCGGAAGCACTTTTTAGAGGAAATGAAGAAGAAACAAGAAGAAGAAGAAGAAGCAACTGTTCTACAAAAAATGCAGGGTATATGAGTTTCTTTCTATTTTTTGTCTTTTTTTTGAGATTTCTCTCGGGGAATAAAATTCACAACATACATTGTACATTGAAAAGAATATAAAACGAATCGATTTAATATGTTTCACAGAGGAACAGAAAGAGAAGGTGGAGATTGAGAAGCAGACAGAAGAAGACGAGGAAGATGGAACTACGAAAGAAGAGTTGAAGGAAGATGACGCTGCAGCTATCATACAAAGTCGTAAGATTAATCCTGATAAAAGCATAAATTTACGTTGAATTTCATAGAAATTAATGTAACAAATTCTTTTTATCGTTAGATTTCAGAGGATACACAATTCGCAAACGCTTTGGACCTGAACTGGAAGAACGTTTCAAGAAGATCTTGAACAACTACGATGATAAATTTGAGGCACATAAAGCGTTATTGCGCGAAGGTTTAAAGAACGAAGAAGCAGCGTTTATAGTCCAACGGTGGTACAAAAAGGAGAAAGTGAAAAAAAGGAAACCTCCGACAAAAGATCCGGTACATCATAAATTAAGGCAAGCTGATCTCATACAATTTTCTCAAAACGTGAGTAAATGAAATTTTAGATAAAAACTTTGATTCCACTTGCGCGTAATGTTTCATTTATTCCAATGGGTTCGAAGGTTCATATGAAAAACCAAGAAGTGCACAAGAATCTACGTCACAATAAGCCAGGAGTGCGATTAAACGAGATAGAAGAACCACCACCGGATTATGTTCGACCCGAAGGATTCAACATGGTGCAGCCGATCATGCAATATCGAAGTGGCAATCAAGTGGATGGAGAGGAAACGATCAAGTACTACCGTGACTTAAAGGATGAGATGAGCAGGTAAATAGACATAATGCACTGACGCGATCGATTATTCATTCTCATTTTCTTCGAGCGAATGAGAAATTCGAATGCTCAATTTTCCAATGCTTTTGGCACTCGCATCGGAAGTGGTTCGGACTTCGAAGAAGAAGAAGTTGGCTGGGACTTACCGTTGATACAGCTAGAAAATGACCTTCACCCATTGACGAGGTATATTCGTAGATACCAGGGAGATTTTATCAAGTTGTTATCTACCTCGCGCTACACCTGTAGATATTTGTAAAATCTTCTTCGACCTCTTTTTCGAATATCATAGTCCTAGGCAGTAGAGATCTACTTTAACATCGTCACTGAAGATCCCATAATCTTTTATCGAATATCCTATTCTATCCTAGAATACAGAATACCCTTTTAAAGCACTTAGGCCATAAATTCACTAAAATATTCGAAATAAACGAGCTATTTGTATTATCCTTGTACCATGAATCTTATTGTTAATTACACTGAAAATGTGTCCCTTGCCAACACATCTACAAAGCGAACAAACAGTTTCGAACTTCAGCAAGATTTTAGCGGATCCTACTATCAAAGAACTGTGTACTATACCTGTGTAAAACAGTGACGTAGAAAGCAGGAACGCATGTTGTGCATGAAAATTACTGCTTTATTTCTAATCTCAGGAGTCGAATTGGGCAGATTCTGGAAGTGAATACCGAGAGGAGAGAACGTTTGGAAGCTCAGGGAGACTTTGCGATAGCTTCGGAACAACAACTTTCGGATATATGGCACAAAGCTTTGAGAAATCCGAGCGAGGATCAGCAACAAGAGAACTCGGGCAGAGTGGGGTAAAGTCAAACTTTCTCAATTAGACGTCTATTGTCTTCTTGCCTAAACTTAAGTTTTCGATTTAAAATGGAAACACTCCCCCTCAGACAGACAGTTATCATTACGTTCCTTTCTTTACTTGTCAAACTCGCAATACATTGTTCTTGTAAATAGGCAGTATCGTTGAATTAATCATTGTACGATAGCAATCGAGTTTTACTAATCTTTCGTTGTGTTTCTGTACCTTGCCAGAGGTATCATGGCAAACTTCCAGGTAAAGCTATAAACTTATGCCATCCGTAGTATGTATCATACCTGTCTCAAAGATTTAATTTCATTTAGAAATCGTTTTAAGGTAGATTTTATGTAAATATCAGAGAAAACCAACTTATCTTACACGCGTATCTAGTGATGGGATCTGAGACACTGTGAATCAGTTCGAACAGGATACGAAGCTTAAATGTCTTGAGACCCTCGTTAAATAATTGATCGTCTTGGAAATCTTGAAAGTCTTGATCGTTTTCGATGTCTTGAAAGTCTTAGGGCTCGCGATAGGGCTTGATAACGTGATGTGACTTAACATATACTGGACGTAGAAAGCATTCTACACACTTTAAAACGGAACAACTGTTTGAAAATTGGGCCAGACGACTTGATCTCTTTTGAGGAGTTAGAAGGATTAGTTTACTAAATGACGCGCAAAAAATTATAAAAATGTTGCAATTGGTCGAAATTACGAAGAAAACAGTAATGAAAATTTCAACAATACATTTTGAACTCACCCACTGTATATTGCAGTTATGTATAATAGTAATGTAGACGCGGATAACAAACGTGCATGATCGACCAACGTGTTACATGAGACTGCAGTGATGAGTATTCATGTTTTACTGCTTTTTTATTACTTTGGTTCAAATAGTATCATTGACATAAGATATTAAAGAAAATCCAGAAAATGTGAGTTATCATAAATACATTTATTTATGTTACTCGTTTCTATAGCTTGCAATACATATTACGAATACTGATACAAATCTGGCGAATGCGAGGAAAAACATATAACAAACTAGGAAAAGTTTTTCAAATTTAGAACAAAAGTTATGATAGAAATAAGTTTATTGCGTATACATTAGTTATTAGTTATTAGATAACAAAATCGTATTGATGGAATTGATATAATATTGTGTATAATACAAAAGATAATATAATATACTATACAGTATAAAGTAGCAAGTATATTTTAAGGTGAATAAGTTAATAATTATAAATAATAATAATAATGCTTCGTAATTACGTATATCGAACGGAGCACGCCTCGCCGATTTCAATGATCTTCAAATATGTCATTAGGCACATGTTATGATCAGTTTCACCTATTCATATGTAGCGACTTATTCGTCGTTTATTCATATAACTGCAGCTCGGCTTTAGTTTTCGAGATATTCATATAAATATATATTCTTAAAACTTTTTAGTTTAATATAAGTTTATGTACGGATATGATTATATTTATATTATACGTTCGTGCTGCGATGGGTTTATACCACTTCTCGGGCTTCAATTTTTAAACACATGGAAATAAAGAAGAAACTTATCTATTCGAGAGCATGTGCTTCGGTAAATGACAGACTTTCCTTATGTTCACTAACATTAATAGAACTAATAAACTTTCTAATTTATCAAAAAGTGATTCACGGTAAAATAATATAGCTCGAAATCTTTCTAATTAGTATAAAGAATAGTTTACCATAAAAATGTATGAAACGATTATTGTTTTTCATGGATTTTTTAATCCAAATCTAAAATCAAAGTATCAAAGAAAGAAAGTTTGTCATTTACTAAAATACATGCTCTCTAGTAGCTATGCGGAGATTCTTATTTACTTGTATTTAGAAAGAGAAACGTGAGGCCACATTTAAGTAAAAAGTTCAGCAGGAATATTATATGAATATCTCGAAAACTACAACTGGGATAAAACTTCGGTAAAGTTAACTCATCTCCGATTTCGATAATTTTGAAATATATTGTAAGTTTATTACCGGCAATAGACATTGAATTCTGCTTCTAGTTGCGCGACAGTGTATGTGTCAGTTTGGTTGCCAACCGCTGACCGCTTATCTTCTGTTTATAAACGAAAATCGGCCGAGCTTAAAGGTCCCGTACACAATTACATACACAAGACTGTAAGAAGCGTCTGTTATAATTTAGCTTGATTAAAAGTGAATACAATCAATGTATCATGTTTGGATTAGACTTTTCAATACGGCGTTGCCTCGTAGCGGCTAAGTTGGAAAGTCTAACCCAAACCCAATACATTGATGATATTCACTTTTAATTGAGTTCTAAGTTATAAGAGGCAATTCTTGCAACCTCGCATATGTAGTTACATGGGGTCTTTAAGCTCGTCCGACTCTCGTTTATAAATAGAAGATAAGCGGCAACCAACACTGACGCATACGTTACTGCAGGCGCACAACCACAAACAGAATTTACTGTAGTGGTATCGACAGATTTTTGCGAATATCTTGAGAACTAAGCGAGATTGCCGATCATACGTATAGGAAAAACTTGTTCAGAATCATGCCCCCATTACATATTAAAAAATTATCAAAATCAGAAAGTTTCAGTTTTACCTGTATATTTACTGTTCGATATTCTGCACATACTTCATTTAGTTGTTAAAAAGTCATTCGGATCCATTCCCAATTTAATAACTATCCATCTAAATAACTATCCATCTAACTATATCCATCAAAAATGTCGCCGTATACAATCTTATTTTAAATCTAGTTGCTTAGCAAAAGACAAGTATTCCAAATGCAAAATTTACCGAACATACCAAAATATAAATTAATTTTAAAAATCGAGACACGTTGGAATTTAAGATACGAAATATTTAATGGATTATTAGAATAAATACAAGCAATGGCATCAATACTATCTTCTTTCCTCCATTTCTTTCGATTTACTAACGAGAAATGAGCAAAATACATTAGCTAAAACTTTACTTATGTTACAACCATTTCTTTCTAATCATAGAATTCAATACTGGATCCAATATCTCGATTTCTAAAGTTATTGTAGCCATGAAGCAATTACACACTTGTCTTAAATTGAACAGTGAGAATCTTTCAGTCATAAAATTAAAGCAACAAATATCTCAAGAGGAATTTATGTTTAGTGAAACTGCTGAAGGAGCAAAGACATTAATCATAGATCAGATTTCAGATGTAGCTGATATTGAAGGTACCTCGTTTGAGATAAACACTGATAATCCTTAATAATGTTTCACCTAGATCTTAATAATACATCACTATGAACGTCTTGTGACAACGAAATAATACGATAAAATTTGATTAGTGAAGATTCTATAACGGAAAGTTGTATTAATAGATATTCAGATCCATTACAATATTGGAAAAATAACATATCCAAATATCCCAATGTTGACAAAATTAGCAAAAGCAATTTTGTCTTGTTTTGCCACATAAATGCCACGCAAAAGAAATTTTTCGAAGGTAGGAGTTATGATCAATAGCAAACAAAACATTAAAACATGCCACTTTGAATACAATTTTAATATCAAATAAATATTATTATTTATAATTATAAACTTATTTAACTTTAAATATAATTATTATTTTATACTATATATAGTATATTACATTGTGGATTACACAATATTACATTAACTTTAAATACGATTTTGTTATTAAACAATTAATATATATACACAATAAACCTATCATTTTCATAAATTTTCTCCCAAATTTGAGAAATTTCTATTTTCTTTTATTTTTTTTACCCGCTTTCACTAGATATCAACACTCGTAATATGTACCGCAAGTTATAAACTATAGAAACGAGTAACAAATAAATGTATTGATGATAACTCAATATTCCTGAATTTTTTATAATATTTTATATCAATGAACTTTGAACCAAGGTAATCAAAAAGTGATAAGATACTGAATACTCATCACGCTATCAAACACGCTAAAACACGCTAAAACGACCAGGATATACCAAAACTCAAGACTTAAGACTCCAGAATTATCAAGATCAATAGCTTTAAGCTTCGAATCACGTTCGAAGTGATTCGAATTGTTTGCTATATATATACAGATTCGATGCGATTCGAAGTATATCAGATCTCACGGATGTATCTTTTTTTTCATTTAATACACTTTTGACTAACATACTTTAGTTACTTTAAATTATGTAATTTATAAAAACAAAAACTTATTTTCTGGTGCATACATTCTAATTAAAATATAAGAAAGATAGTAAAAAGCTGTACAAAAAAATAAAACATGTACGATCGAAGAAATATTTGAAAAATAAATACTTTATCCGACATTTCCATAAAATTTTTATCGTTCGAATTAAAAAATGCCTATACTATTTCTGAAGTACATATTCCGATACCGTAGATCATTATTTATCTTCATTCTTCGAGTTTCATTTACAAATCGGTAGTTTCGAAATCGATAACGAAAAATCGATATCTTAGGCGATCTTCGATTTAAAGCAATTCTTTTCTTTACAGTACAAGGACTAATCACGCGGCTAGCAAAGACTTGCGGTTCCCTGAAAGATATTCGCGCTGTAAACAACCTACAGTCGACTCTTCGAATATCAACCATTCAAATGGCCTACGATTCAAATACATCGACAGATACAACGGTGTAAATGACCGTCAACAATCTATCAGTGGTCAGCAGCAGCGTATCGTCAATGGACATCATGCTGCAAATGCTCATCAGAACCTGTTTAAGGGAGGTCATAATTTTACAAACGGACGATCGGCGTTTGTTAACGGGCAAGTCCCTCTAAATAATTATCACGGCCCCGCGAGCGGACACGAAACCACAATCAATAGCCATTCAAACTCGGTTAATGAACATTCATCGGCGAACAATTTGGTCAAAGTTAATGGACACCCACTTTGCAGTAACGGATACCGAAATATCATTAGTGGTTGTGAAAATGGTCTGTTCATAAATAAAATGGTCGTGGGAGATGATTTGATCAAACCTTCAAAATTAAATAATGGTCTTAAGAATAATATAAATGGTCGTGTAAAGGAGATACAGCCTACGAAAGAAAATGACAACTTAAGAAAACATCGATCACCTGGCGTAGACAGCAAAAAGGGAATCGACCGATTGGTTAATTGTCAGAATGCCATCAATGGTCGATTAGCTGCGAGAAAAGATTTGGGTAAGGATACGTTTGGGATCCCAGCTGATCTCAGACAAATCCTCAAACCTACTATCGTCGTTCAGAAGCAACGAGAAATCTTTAAGGTAGATTATGATCCAGAAGATATCAATGGACCGTATAATTTCCGGCAGCTATTGAGACCAGCTGAATACCTTCCTACGGAATCTTTAAGAAAAAGAAAGGGCGGCAGCTTAGCTTGCAACGGAGTTTCGGTATCAAAGGACAAGGTTACTGAGAAACACGTGAAAAGAAGAGCACCGCTCGCACCAAATCAAAATAAGCTCGTTAACGCGAAAAAATAACTTTCTTAGACATGTTTTTTCAGATATTCTACGGGCACCTAGACTGTCGTTAAACGATGTAGAATAATTATCGATCGCATATACGAATTCCCTAAAAAATATGTTTCTAGGGATACATAAGCACAGAAATGGCAAAAGATACTCGAAGAAGATTTAAGATTTGAAAAAAGTATAATAACTACAAAATAATTCTTATCTAGTTAATATAACGCGGTTATATCGCAACATAAGGCAAGATATTAATAATCCGTAAATTTTATTAACCGATATTTTTCAGTATTATTACCATATGAAGCTGAAAATATGCGAGTCGGATAGTTTGACGAATTGTGTATGTATTAGCCGTATCTAATAATTTTCAAACTTATGCGAACTAGTTAGTTTTCGTTAAATTTTGTGAATACTAGTTATTCGTAGAACTTTGAATTTTTTTTAAAGTATCAAGAATTCATTTGTGACGAAAGAATAATGATAAAATACAACAGATTCTGTGAATTTAATTCATTGTAATTCATGATAACACGTTTGTCATCTATCGAGTTATGTTAGTAGTAATAAGTAAGTTAGTAGTAGTAAGTAATACTTATTTCTCATTATTCGTTCGACTCAATAATTTGATCTTTTGTATCAAATAAATGAAAAAAGAGATATTGATTTGTTTGATACAATCAACTGCTGCTGCTTAACGAAATACATCTCAAGAATATCGTTCATTTAGAACTAGTCATGTGTAGCTTTACAAGAGTTAGATGTGTTCGATAGCTTTAAAATAAATGTTCACAAACTTCTGACAATGTCTCATCGTAATATTTATGTTTTAGACGCGTACGTATAACTTTCAAACACAATTACGAACATAATCTATTGATAAACTTGTTTATTAGCATCTCGTCCTATTAAATGTTTCCGAATACGTCTTAATTAGTCGCTATTGTCAAATGTTTATTAAATCCTAATACTAGTATGTATTTCGAAAATACTGCTTGTAAATAAAATTCTGATAGAAGCAAAAATATACTTCTACTTATTATTACATTTATTATTTAAACATATAGGTTCTATTTATTTCGAGTTTTATTTTTCGGAACTATTATTTAATGTTTTGATATAAGTTGCAAATTTATTTGATGAAATATTTACTGAATTTTCTATTTCTAATTCTATAAGAATTTCTAATTCTATATGAAAGAACAGTTGGATAATTTTCTGTTGATAAAATAACGCGATAATTGTGTCAAAATTACTTTATGAAAATCTTTATGACAGTTTCAATATTCAATATTACATTTTCAATATGTTACGTCCTGTGACCCAAACATATATTATCATTTCCTATTCATAAAATCATTTAATAATCTATAAAATCCTCTTTACTACGATCAAGTCTATTACCGTTCCAAGATTTAGCCTTTTTTTGATTATTTGTCAATATACTGTCGAGGTCCTTAATTCTACAATGTATTCTTTAAGTCAAGACGCTCCTTGGGTTTGAGGTGAAGGTGGATGTAAGTGCCCAGGAAGTATTCTCGATGTTCAACGATAAAGTTTATTTAACAATTAACAGTCAACAATCAACAATCACTCTTCTCGAATGTGTTTGCTTCGCTGTTACGTCAGACCCTTCGCACTTCGTTGTTCGAAACAGAATGAATGTTTTGTTCAAAACCGAACGGATCCTTTTCCTTCGTTACCCCTCGATATCCCCACTACGCACGCGTTTGTTAGATGTCCGCGACCGTTGCCGCGTATGCATTCTTCCGAATATTTAGCGGAAGAACCGTAGGGATATCGATGGTACATTAGGCATATCGGCCTTACGCTTTAATGGCCATATAGCGCTTTGTGTCGCGAGCCGTCGGAAAGTTCCGTCGTTGAGTGCCGCCACAGAGTTATTGCTCGTTACGGTAAAACACGGAATAAGCAGGTTTTTTCATGTACAACACTCGAAGGCCGATTTCACCCGTGAACGATCTTTGGTAGGGGGCGACCATCGCCCATCCTTACATATCAGTTTTTTTTCATCCAATTAGTAGCGATGGTCGTTGCCCTCGCTTCCTTACCGAAAATTACAATCAACGAATCCACTTGTCTCGTGCTCTAGACACACCCATCACTAGTTTTCCTCCTCGATATTGTCACATAAAATAAAAAAAGGAAATCTCTGATGAAAAGAAAAATAAAATATAAAAAAAAAGAGAATTTATTTTTGACTTTCGATTGGATCTGTTTCTTTTTTTCTTCGTCACCCCTCAATATCCCCACTATCCGCGCGTTTGTTAGACGTCCGAGATCGTTGGCACGCACGCCTTCTTCTAGAACATTCTAGAACATAGATATACATTGTCGCCTAGTGCCACCACATCTTTATCTCCATCATCCGCCCATCGGGTTTGAAGTGTGCCGGTCGTGACAATATTCGGTGACCGTCACCGAATTTCGCTTGCAATCAACTCTTCGGTCAAAACACTCCTATATCTTTCACACGCAACACTCGCAAACACATCAAAAGTTGTTGGACTTCGAACACCTTTTTCTTCCTTAGGTATTCAAGAAGTGAGCCATTAATACCTTTGATTCGGATTACGACCTTCTCAATATATGTATGTTTTCTGTGCCGGGGTACATCACCCCATTTGTTGTTGGACTTATTTGTAACGTTCTTTTTCAGTATCGAGGTAAGAGTATTTATCCAACCGCTTCGTTCTCGGAGTACCGTAATATTTACCCTAACACTTCGTTCTTGGGGTAACACGATATTTACCCTACTACTTCGTTCTTATCTTTTCTCGCTTCATTCGTGTTCTTTTGCGTTTCTTAAGTTCACACAATATATCTATAGAAGTGAGAGATCGTAGGTGTAACGACAGACAATACGGTAAATCATACGTACAGGTGTAAGGTGTTGATATATTAATAAAATTTATATTTTGTCAATGAGATTAGTTTGAAATTTATATTATATATAATATAATATATATTAATATAATATAACATATATTAAAAAAGAGATTTCGAAGCGTTTAATGCAATGCTCCATTTTCATATTTCTGTTAATGGCGCGCAAGCCGTTAACAGATTCAAAACTGCATACCTTCTTTTCGGTATAATCGTTGATTCCTGCTTCGAAAACTTCATCCTCGCTGTATTCTACGCGTACTGTACTTTGTCTTTCTTTCAGTTTTATAGAAAAATTTCGATTTAAAAGCGATTAAAACACAGAGAACTAGGAGCAATAAACGAGCACTATCCAAACGCGGTAACTCCATTAGAACTCGGAAGATGGTGCTACCGTATCTTCTTGAAACTTGGTTGCATAGTTACACGACGAGAAGTTGCAGGTATATCGCCGTTGCAACTGAATGTCGCTGGCGTCGCCGATTAGCAACGCAACGATTGGCTAGTAATTCGAATAGAGGGGCATCTAGGGAAATAAGTGGAAACGCACGAGTGTTGTGAGAGGGTTGTGTGGACGCACGAGAAGCAAGAGGGGTGCAACGAACCCTCTAGGCTCGGTTCGAGTCTACGGAGCTCGGAGTTGTGTTCGAATCATGGCGACACCCGACCCCGTAGACCCAGCCACCCTAGAGATAAAGACCCGTAGCATAGAACAGACACTACACCCACTAGTAAAGCAGGTAAGACAATTTATCGGAAACCGGAGAAAAAGAATGTTTGTTTGCTCTAATCACTTGGTTTTTATTTGAGCCGCTTACATTCCTGGCTTTTAACCGCGCTAGGTTAAGGTCTTACCCCGGCTTACCTCGATGCGTTACGTTCTGTTGCACCGTTGCACAGTATTCGGTATCACCTATAGAATAGTCATGCTTGTGTGCGTGTTCATCTATACGTCACTCTGCGTATATGTGTACCATCATACACGTGTAAGAGCGTGTACAAACGCGAACGATGCATGTATTCATAGGTAAGTGAGAGAACCGTGTACACGACAGAGAAAGAGTAGAACTCGTAAGACGTGAGAGAAGGACAAACAAGCGTGCCGGTTGCTCTGAAGAGCGGGATAGATATACATAAAGAGTGTGTATGCGGGGGATTAAGTGTTACTTACGACAGAGAACGTGCAGCATTAACCATTCCTGCGATATCGATTTGATCTTAACGGAAGTGCCCTTCTTAGGCCTCCATGGTTTTACTTTCAATAGAAACATCACTGTATTTGACAGTTCTCACGCCGGGCATGTGCTTTCTATCATCCAGCGACCGGGCTGCCACGCGCTCCAACTAACAGATATTTTGGTACTACATACATATACATACTTCTTTCTCTTCTGTCTCTTTCTGTTATCCACCTTTTTTATTCTCACTCTTCTAATCATGGCTACATACATGTCTATATATATGTATCTATGTATGTATGTGTGTGTGTGCATATATCGGAAGTCACATGACTTGTGTTTCGTGTCGCGGCGTCAATTTTGAGTTTTCATAAAATTATAACGAATTTTTCGTTGTGTGTAATTGTGGTATACACCCTATAATTTGTATACATAGTCGTCGGTACACGCGAGGAAGCACACATACAAAATCATTCTATAAAAGTCAAAGCACGTTGGACGAATTTGTGAAAAGTTTTAATCGAATGAATTCGATCGGGTTAATGCACAAAACACCGACCATATTATATCACCATGGCAAATACACATTTAGATTAAATTATAATTTCAATAAAACCTAAACATTTGCAAATCTAATCAGTCCAAGTACAAAAACATATTCCGTCAACAACCTGTTTCGTTTTCGATTTTACAAAATAGAAAACGAGGAAAAAAGATAAAGAAAATGCGTAGTACAGTGAAAAATAGAACCAAATATGTTTAACTACAGAGGCCATTTCGTGACAAACTTTAGTCCCGTGATTAATGACATAAACGCCTTTAGCCTCTGTCGCTGATTTCTGAAATGAAAAAGGGTCACAAAGATTTTCAGTCGTTTATAATAGTCTCTGCCCATAGCTGCGGAATTGATTCTCTATAAATATCGTGTCTATTCCCTGCAGCAAGTCGGATTGGATAAGATTCTTTAAATTTTCTTATATACTATCAAAATATAACTGTAAATTTAATCAAATCGGTAAATTCTTTTAATAACGTTAGATAATTAACAGTTTTGGAACTTATATTAATCTAAAAGAAAGACGCCGAACCAAAGGTTTGAAAAATATTATTACAATTTAATCATATTTTGTAAAACAAATATCAAAGGATTACTGCTCCTTTAATCAAATGAAATACAGTTCGTTTTCCTCTTTGAGCATATTTCAAAGGGTACGTGGCTTTAAAAGGAATCTGAATTGACGATAATCTTGTATCGCTGTCATCTGAAATCTTCACCTCTTTATAAGACGAAATAATCAAACATGAATTCCACAATCACTTTGTTCATAAGAAAACATCGTTACCAAAGGCAGAAGAGCAAATAAACAGATTCAAGTGAATTTTTTGTATCGAAAATCCATTTAATTTAATAATCAACGATCTAGTTTTTTTTGCGTTACCTATAGCAGCTTCAGATGGTTGCCTTGGTAGTTACCACGAAAGCTGAATGATTATATTGAGTAGATTCACAAATATCGATGATCGTGAATATATTTAATTATATAGTATTACTATAAAATTTTGTTTAAGAAGATATTGAGTAATTTTAGAAAAATCTATCAGCATCGTTGAACGATTTTTCGATTTCAAAAATTTCCATAGAGAACTTAGACGATTAGGAGCAAAATGCAAAAATGGCGTGTTTAAAAAAACTGATATGTGACAAAATGCTTTATAGGTAGTCAGGTAATAGGAGTGATCGATCGGTCCAATTAACCAACCGCCGTTTGCGGGCGTGTCGCGGTGAAAATTATTTCAAGTCAAAAGGGAGCGAAATATCAGTCGGTCATGAACGACCTTTGTGTCACGTTAAGCGATATTTCCTAATGTTAGTGCACACGTATGATCACAAAGAAACGGGAAATTGGTGTGTATTGGTTAAACCTCTTAGATAGAGAAAGCACGCGAGTGTCTGGTGCATGACACAGAAGGCGATCGTTACGGGCTGCAGCCACTTGTTAGAGCTCCGTCTAGCCACCTCCTACCTCTTTCCCTATCTTTCTTCTACTTTTCCCTTTCCCTTTTCTATCCCCTCCTATCCTCTGACAGAGACCTTCGACCTATACTTTTCGTACAGTCTATTCTTCCCATCCGGTGTTAGAGTGGTGGTTGAACTGCAGTTAATATTTTATTGACCATCGCCTACTTTATTCGTTGGTAATCACGATTATTTCCTTTAATGCCCATTCCTTTCTTTCATTTCACTTTCCCCTGCTTATTTCAGGTTTTTCCACGGATCTTCAATTGATCGATCATTATTATAAAATAAATTTCCTTGTTTAATCTTTTTAAGATGATAGTTTGTTGCAATTAATTTTTTAAAAAATCGTCGAATTGTTATGATTTTTCTATTGTCATTCAAATCTAAGAATAAAATTCATTAAAAGAACTGACAAGTTACAAAGTATGAGAATTCATGAATTTTTTTTGTTATTTCAAAAATAATTATAAAGTAAATTTAAAAGTCAAAAGGTAATTATGGGTGTGGTATTTTTCACGTCATCGCTATTAAGGAAGGTAAATTAAAGAAAAATTTCTGGAGCACTTCAATTAATCGTAGTTCCACTGTTGAGCTCAGGTTTTAATATTATCAATGTGTTAAGATTGAGACTACAGGCTGTCCATCATTCGTGTCAATTGTAAATGCAAATTAGACAATAACTATAGAGTAATCTGCCGACTGATACCAGCATCGTAAAATTTTAGTTCCATACGAAATTTTAAAAGAAATCTTCGACCAATTTTCTTTTTTTATTGTATGTATTACTTCATATAATTCCTATGGTTGTATGCTTATTAGTGTTGTTGTACGTTTTTTACCTACAAAATTAAACTATTTTACAACTTCGAAAGATCTTTTTTTTGTAAGTAAGGAATATAACGACAGGTTACTTTTAAGTGGCAGATTTATGAAGTCATTGCAATATGTTTTACTCGACTGATTAGGAAGATAAGATTGAAGTTTAAATTATTCAGGTTTATGTTATCTTTCGACATTTTCCCAGAATACTTTGCATACTTTTAACATATTTGAAGTTATTCCACGATATTTATCTTTTCAAATGCTTTTTTCGCGGAATATATTTCAAATCCATTGTAAATGTAAAATTTTATTGTCTGTTATCCTTACTCCTTTTATCCTTGCTTTATTTCGAATTGTTATAAATAATTATATTTACTTTGATGTCTACTACTGTAGTGTAACATTTGCTTATGGTTCGTGAACTTCTTACAAAATAATAATTTTATATTTTCTTTAATAACTTTTTTAGTAATTTTATATCTCCTCCCTCTCCTTTTACTTTTATAAAAGTACGTTATAATACTAGGAATATATCGTAGCCTTTATCTGTCAGGTTGTCAGGTAGGAATAAAAAAGAATTTTTAGTGGAGAAGTCGGCGACACATTGGTAAGCCACCAATATCTGGTGAGAATTTCTCGAGTGACACACTCGAACACTTCAATTAACCTCGATCTTCGACCTAACCCCACAGTGACCCATTACTGACACGTTACAATCAGTAACTACGACCACAGCTTCCGCAGTGTCTGTCCATGGTTATATA